CATAGAAATGTTGCTCAAACGATGTTTAGGTATTGAATATCTTAGCGAACCGACACGTTAAGTTTAATATCAGACGGTGTACTATTTACAATATGAGTTTACAGCTGGGCATTGATGTACAGACTTCCAGATACCGCCAACATTTATATCTTGCGTCTGGACTGTGATCATTGGGCGTTGTCCATTAATTTCAAGCTATTTTACTTCAGATAATTTAAAAAGTACGTTCTTTGCGTAGTGCCATAGCACAAGTTTTCCCTTAGTATCACCGCGTATCTGTGCGAGACCTCTCGCATGTTAAACCCCACTCTTTTATCATTCCTTCTATTTCCATTTTAAGAGAAACAGTTGTTTACGAAACGTATTTATTTGTTTAAAAAAGTATAAAGGCCTTCCAATGTACTGACACAATATCAAATAAAAACAATGCAATTGATGTTGAAAATAAATTTTCACGAAACATTTATTCAGTATTATCGAGATATTTCTTGGAACAATTCACAACACTTCCTTAAATATATTTGAAGTAATTATTCAATATTCTTTGGCAGTTAGCTTTTCACTTCGTGATAGTCACAAAAATAATAAAAAATCATTTTTCTCTTGAGACAGCTACGTAGCTGACTTCAAAAGTTTCACAGAATCACTGCAGATAACGATAATACTGGTACAGGCAAAACACAAATCAAGCCTAACACGGTATGTCTTCACTTTTTACTGTACACCCACATCCCTCCACAATTAGGTACACAACACTTTTAGACCTCGGTAAAACGTTAAATGAATGTTTTCACTACACGCATAAAAAACAATCAACGGTATCAAGCAACTATTAATAGAACATCTAGTTGTTGCTGCGAGAGCGAATCATGAGTTCACCTTTGCTAATAAATTAATAATTATGCAAATAAACCTCGTCAGTCTGCGCAAACCACAGTGTACACAGAAATCGTAAATAGTATAAGATAGAGGAATCTAAGTCATCCAATTGTTACGACACAAAGATGGCCACCATCACCAAAGTTGAAATATAGGTGGCATTGGTTCACTTTCCCTCTTAAAATGGAAATAGAAGGAATGACAAGAGTGTGGGGTTTAACATATGAGAGGTCTCGCACAGATACGCGGGGATACTAAGGAAGAACTTCTTCTTCTATGTCACAACACAAGGAACACACTTTTTATTTAATTTAATTTATCTAAAGTAAAATAGCTTGAAATTTATGAAGAACAAAAATCAAAACGCGCTAGCCTACAATACTACGTGAATGAATTTTCAAAAGCAATCGGATTTAAAATTATAGTAAAAATAGCGCAAGTCACTCGATAACGCCCAATGATCACAGTCCAGACGCTCGGTATAAATGTTGGCGGTATCTGGAAGTCTGTACATCAATGCTCAGCTGTAAACTATAAGTACCGATCAGCAAAAATTCAATAAAATGTTCAGTAGTATCTCATCCTGTTGATTACGAAATGAAAACGTTTCTTTGATGCCTTTGGTCTCAAAATTTTGGTTTTGAAGGTCCTATAATGCTTCGTTTAGAAGTTATTTAACGATATGTCTGAGTGCTTCGGGTTTCATATGACATTAATATTTAGATGTGTTTTTTTAAACAAATACTTCATATTATTACAGACAAAATTCAATTCCACACGTCTCCTTAAAATTATCTTTCTTTAGAGACCTTATTTATAAAGATCGGTTGCGTTTGAGCGCGGCAAAAGGTGTGTATACTATTGAAATAATATGATACAATACTAAGTAGTTTTTTACACAAGGGTTTGAAAGAGCTTTAAGTGCGTGGGTGTTTGACTATGGGTAAGCGTTTTAATTCTGCTATCTAAAATATTGTTTTATAGATAGCGCAGAATTAAGACGCCTATCCATAGCCAAAGACCCACGCGAATAAAGCTCTTTCAACCGCTTGTGTAAATAAGAACATAGTATCCATTTTATTGCTCTTAACAAATGTTTTCTATGATGTAAATTCACGGTGTAGGATTTACCTACATTTTTAAATTTATAATTCGTTATTTTAATAAGGATAAAATTCTTTCTATTCTAGCTCAGATTCAGCGTGTTATGTCAATCGGACAAACTGTTTTTCAGTGCCACATGGTCAGTTACAAAACACCAAAACAGTAACACCAACAAATTATTAAACGAATAATAAAAATAATACACACGAATGTAAAAGAATGTATGTATAATTTCTTCATTTAATTTAGATTTTATTCTCATGACAAGAGTTCTCCAAAGGAAAAAAACTTTAATAGATACTTCTTCAATTTGAATTTAAATATTTTTAGTTTTTCTAATTTATAATAGCATCTTTTAATTTCTTGGTGACTAATGTAACATTACTGTTTGGAGATAGGGTATACATCTGCTCTATAAATAATTATATGCAGATAGTTTCTACATCTAATTGTATAGTTGTGTACCTCATTATTTAAAGAGAATTTACTCTTATTCTGTTTACAATATAAAGCACTTTTATAAAAAACTTCCAGTGGCAGTTTGAATATTACTAAGTTTAAAGATTATACTTAGAATTTGCTCACGTACACCGTGCTAAATACTCAGAATAACATGACGTAAAGTCCCTATAGCCCTCTACATTTGCGAAAAAACACTTGATACCATTTTGTTGCGTTCTGGTGGTAAAATCATTTTTGGCTATTGTTTTAATATAATCTAATATTACTTTTTAGCTTTTTACCTAGCTCATAAATGGGTGGGATTTCCACTAAGGAGTTACATTGACTCTTTTGTGTTTTTTCTTTCATAAACACTTCGTATCTATTTGACACTGAAACGCTATACATAACAAGAAAACCATGAGTTTTTTGCCTTTTTGCAGGGTTCTTTTCGGTAATATTTGGTTCTGTACTTACGTTTTGTTGGAGGAGCTGGCTACTTAACTGCGGCAATGAGGAATGTTGAATATGCGGGGTATGTTGAAAATCTGTATGTAGTCACAGCTGCGGATGAATTATGTATTGTTCATGAAGCTGTTGTTGTAACCATTTTTGTTGGTCTTGGACCATTTTCCGTCGGTCTCAAGTTGAAGGTTTTGTAGTTTATGGAGTTCTTCTAACTTCCTGGAAGGAAGGTGGTGTTTTCTTCAATTTTATGCTTGTATTTACACCTACATTAGAATTATTTAACAATTCTAGAGTATTTTTATTTCCTTCCCCTATTGAAGCTGAACTATTGCCATGATTACTGCGATAACGTGGAGGCCAGTATACGCGCTAGTGCGGTAGGCCCGATAATAACTGTTGTCCACTGTATAATGTTCTGGCCAAGACCGGAGCATAAACTTCTACTAAACACTACTTCTACATAAACTTCTACTTATTAATTCTTGCGTGTATTTATAGATCGCAATTAGCACTTCGCAAAGATACTGAATGAATGTTCGTTAGTTGTTTAACTGCACTCGGCACTCTTTGCAATAGCAAAGGGACCACTTCCATGTGAATTTGTGACAATAATGGCGTTTTCTTTTCGCCGCACTGGTGCGCACTCAGGGCAGCTTTCGTGTTCCATTTTATCGTCAGGGCGCACCAGTGCAAACAAGCTCAAGTTCTATGTGCACAATCACACGCCACCGTGGCACTCTAACCTACACCTAGGGGCTCATTACACCGGGCCATGTTGAGATTAGAACTTATGAATGTTGATTTGGATTAGTGGTGAAATTGTGGAGGCAATTGATCTTATGTCACGCAAGGACACTTCACATGATAGAATATATCATTTTTTACCAGAAATGTCTTACAATAGTTCTTGTAACTTACGTAAAGTTCGAAAAATCAGTTTGCGTATTCCTAAAATTCAACCTTGAATAACTCCATGTTACCAAATCCAGTGCTGTTTAGTAACCAGAGTGTAGGTATGTCTCAATCTCAGAAGACTAATAAAGTAAAAATAAAAAATAGTGACCAATGCCCTTACAAAATAATTCAAATATGTGTTAAGATGTTTCTCGCTCCCGCATACATACATGTAAAGCATACGTCAGCGGAAATGCTCATGTAAATATTTTATGGTTTTCAATAACCAAACAATTCTGCAGAAGCCTTTCGGTTCAACTTTTGGGTACGTAATTCGAATGTATGAAGAGAGAACCGTAAAAAAGCTATGCGTAGGGAGCATTGCTGGTAGGAGAGGAAGCGATAGGTCTAGATTAAGATGGAATAGTGAGATGAAAAAATATTTGCGAAACATAGGTGTTAAAAGATGACGATGAAAAGCAGAAGACAGAAGAAATTGGGCTGTTATAATGAAAGAAGTCAGGGTAAAACTAGGAGTGCTGGAGAGCCGATAGAATAAGAATAAGAAGAGATCGAATTTGGTTTGAATATTTTTTCAATGCATTTAAATTTTCACTTCCATACATCGTTTATAATAATAGTAATTCAATGTTGAATAAACATTGCAGAATTCAAGAGAAACGGCTTCAATGTTTTTTAAAGTCATCAATATTGACTACACGTTTCACAAATAGCATTCATAATTTTCCTCAACTTAATTCACATTTTCACATCTTCTTCATCAAAATTCGTCATTTATAGTTTTGCAAACATAGTTATTTAAAGTTTATTTTTCATTAAGCCCCGTTGGTTCTCCGTTGACATTGCTTACTCTAATTTCTTTTACTAGGTACCCCTACACTACTAAACAATATAACTCGTGTTAACTTCACTATTCACGGAAGTGTTTGGCTTAGCGTGGCCACATCTGTCTGCCTTTTACGAACTCCATAATCGACTCCCTTACACGTCCGTCTACCACCAGCTCCAACACACAAGTGATTTAGGTTTGAGTTCTTCTCGTCACGCAAGAAAAGACAGTTTCGTCAGTTTTACACGCAAACAAAACACATCATGACATCCAACAAAGCATTGTATCTTTCCAGCTACTGCAGATGTCAAATATTGACATATATTGAGGTACATCATGTAATGGTTCTGGTTGCATTGTTTACCTCAATATTGATGTAGACGATGAATCGAAAAATTTTGTGCGTCTTCAAAGTCCGAGATCCAACTTCATCTACGTAATTTCTAAAATTAAATCATTGTTTGCCGACAATTGTCTTTCACATTAGACATAATATACATTATTTTTAGCAATATGAAACACTGAATCATGTAACGATCTATTGTATTTTCAAATATATATTTACAAGGTAAGAAAAGTTGTGAAGTTATTCAGAAGTGATAAGTCGCGTGTCTGCTGTCGTTACCCAGAGGTGCGAAGGACTCTTTCTTGGGAAAGGGATCACTGTCGGCGGCGCAGGCGACCGCCCTCGCGTACATACGTTGTTCCCTGAGAGGGGGCAGAGGAGCTTTCGAGGACGGTGGGCGGGTCCAACTACTTGCCCGCTGACGTCCCGTTCTCTGCAGAACTCTTGAAGTTGCTTCGTAAATATTTATTCTATCGTCTCCCGTGCCGTGAATCTCCTTTATTTCCGAGAACGAGTTCTTTAAAGCTTGCATGCGCTTGTGCAGGTTATTGGAAGGCGCGCTTGTCTTCTGGTTCGCGTTTTTGTCCGTTTCTTTGCAAAGAGCCGCTTTGTCGCCAGCGGTTTCCTGGAGTGGCGGAAGCCGCGCAGGCTGGCGTTGAGCTGGAGCCGCTGAGAGGCGAAAAGCAGCGCTGGGGGCTTCCAACGACCCCCCACGAGGAGCATCTGGAGCGGAGCGTCGAGCGCCTTGAGGCGTCTTCCTCCTGCCGACACTTGGAAGAGCAGCCTCGTGGCGCAAGTCTTCTTTCATTTTAATGCTGTCTTTCTTAGACTCGTGTTTTCCATTAGCTGAATACGTGAATTCAGAAATCCTGGACGGTCTTTTCGTAGCCTCGCAGGTTTTGGGCGCGGGATGTTTATGAGACGAGCGCTTCACTTCTTGCACTTTGCATTTCGCGTTCGCCTTCTTCCGGCGCGCCTCTCCGGGCTTGTTGCCGCGCGTTCGCGCCGAGTGGGCGGAGTGCGCGGACGCGTCCGAGGGCTCCCAGTCGATGCGTAGAGAAACAGTACGGTGGGAGGCGGCGGCCGCCGGAGAAGACTTGGCCCGCCGTGGCGCGCTGACGGCGACGGAAAAAAACCGCCCCGCGCGGGCTGGCGGGCGCTCGCACCCAGAATGCGCAGCGCGAAACAAAAGGCTCAAGTCGCTCACAACCGGCCCTGACGCGCCGCGCCGCGCCTCGCCCCCGCCGTAAAAAAAGTCCAGCCCCCGCCGTCGCCGGCAAAGCGCAAACTGACCTGCGCAACGCAAACAACGCTCGAGGAACGTGCTCGGACATCAACTCAGGCATCCAAAAGAGCAACAAAAAAACATATTCATTATTAAAAATAAGATCGCTGGTGAAGTCCGCGACCCGACCCGACCGCCAACCGACACGACCGACCCGACTATACGACCTCGATCCGACCCGAACCCCCGATCACGACGAACCCGAATCGAATCGAACCGATGCCTTATTTTACGTGGCGATACTCGTGCCATTAGACCCGCTCTTCCGCCTAATCACGCAAATATCGCTACACTCCATTCACCAACTATCGGAGCACGTGGGTGGCGACGAAACAGGCGGTTTGAATTTAAGTAAGAGGCGTCAGTTAGGCTTGAGTATCTTTTACGTGCAAGTAAATCTAATAACATGGGACAGCCGGCTTTACTTCCCCTCCAAAGGAAGGCGTACAAAGGATGTTTTCGCCCTTAAAAATCCACGGCTTCGATCGGGTTTGAACAAAACTGGGTACAACAGTCCGATTCGCTAATTGTTACACCACCGTGGCCGCCACGGCCGTGACCAACCGTTACCCCGCCATGAGGTAGATACTTCTAATAATTAAGTAAATAAAATGTATTGTCCAGTATCAAAAGTATATTTTAACTTAAGATCTTTTCGATAGTGTAGGTACCATAATCAGAGCTATCTTGGAGTCTGCGGGAGGAAAACAAAGTTCTGGGGGAAATTTGAGGTCTGGGCAGAATTTTGTTTTCTGCCCAAAGACTGCAATATACCTCTAATGATGATACCTACGCTATCGAAAAGATCTTAAGTTAAAATATACTTTCGATGCTGGACAACACTTTTTATATACTTTATAATTAATTTGGACTAACACCCGCTCCATTCTTTCTTCTCTCTATTTGCGTTTCAAAAGATTCGTTCACCAAATGCAGATGAAGAAGGTCTGAGTGTCGCTATCTTTTTTATTTTAGTCGTTAGACACAGACACTATGATGCAGGCTAATGTCACGTGCGTGTGTCAGCATTCAGAAAAGAGGATGCTTTGTATTATTAATTAAACAATAAACGACTCAACGTAGCAGAAGTTAGTCACGTGAGAAAGTGAATTAGAACGAATGTTAAGAATGTTCTGAATGGAGGTGAGTGGACGGTGGACGGTTGGCTCGCCTACCGCGGCCGCCGCGCAGCGCCATCAGCCGTCGCCGCTCCACCACCAGCGCGGCCGCGGCGGCGCCGGCGCCGGCCGCGTCGGTGGCGGCGGCGTCGGGGCCGTCGTCGGCCGGCAGCATGAGGCGCTCCAGCTCGGCGAAGAGGCGGTCGACGCGGCGCTCGTCCTCGCGCAGCGCGGCGCGCACGCCGCACATGACGCCGTGCATCTTGCGCGGCGAATAGCTGCGGTAGCGGAAGCGCAGGCGCTCCTGGTCGTCGGGCGTCGGCACGCGGCACGCGTCCGCCAGCGCCGCCCGCCCGCCGCGCACCAGCTCCTCCCACGTCCACACCTTCAGCCCGCAGCGCCGCCGCAGCTCCTCCTGCCACGCGCACTCCCTTCACACGGAGCCACTCGGCGGCGCCACCCGGAAGCGACACGCAAGCGCTTCACGCGCGGCCGACGCCCTTCACACAGACCCATTGGCGGCGCCACCCCGAAGCGACAGAGCGCTTCACGCGCGGCCGGCTCCCTTCACACAGACCCACTGGCGGCGCCACCAGGAAGCGACAGAGCGCTTCACGCGCGGCCCCCTCCCTCACCTCGCGGCGGGCTCCCTTCCCTCAGAGCCACTCGCGGGCACCGCCGAGTGACGCTGGGAGGAAGGCTGCCGCTTTGGGCTTCGGCGCTCGAAAGACAGCAAGCAGGCAGAAACCGGTCAAGTGGCGCGTCCGAGAGGTCAAGTGTGAAGGCTGCCCTTTAGAATTGCGTGTTGTGCTACTGGTGGTGGGAGTTCGCCACCGACTGCCACAGAAAGCGCCATTTCTCCGCTTGTGTCAATGCCTGCTTTCGCCGCTTGTGTTCTTTTAGAACCTTTCATAACCCTAAGTGCGCGTTTCGTCTTTCAACGCTCATCGCAGGTTTACGAAAGAAATCGGAACCGCCAAAACGCGTAACCTTTTGGTGCAAACTGGACCGTTCTCTTAAACACACGCCAGCCCGTAAACTCGGTGCGATCTTAGTTTCGTACCCATCTACCCAATTTCTACCCAATTCAGAAAAGTGGTACAATTGGACCAACATGGGGTATATTGAACTCCTTCACAACTAGAACGTAGCTCTTGTGTCCCCACGAAAAGGATCGTAAGGATAGAAAATGTTCAAAATAGTAAACGAGTGTATGCCTTTGCAGTAGTTCAAGTACTTAAAATAAGTGATAAAGTCACAGAAAACGTGACATTAACTGACAAAATTATAAAATTTGCTTCCAACTGTCGTGATATTTATTCAGGGGCCATTTGATGACTGCATTCACTGCCACTATACGTGTACCAGAATAAATTAGTAGTGGACTAATAAAATGACACAAGAATATGATTGATAGCATACAATTTAACCCAGACATTCTTTTCAATCTGAATAATGATTCCTTAACTCCCCAAACATTTATTTAATGAGTATCCTAGGACATCTTATCTTGAACCCACGACTGCACGCAGTACGGTCGTTCGGCAGGCGGCGTGGTCTTAAAATGCGAATACCTTACGTTTCACGATCACCTTGAAACCGCGACTGCGCGTGGCGCGGCCGTTTAACTAGCAAAAGATGCGGCGTCTTAAAATGCGAATACCGAATGAGATACGTTCACCTTGAGCCTGCGTCTGCTGTTGGGAAGGCGGTGGGTGCGGCATCTCCTTAACCCGGGAGCGCCCGCAATAAACCTCTCTGATATAGCTGCAATTGCTTCTGAATACAAATGATCTGAAGGCACATTTACTGAAATACGTATTTTATTCGGTTTTTTACATGAGCCACAATGCAAATTGTTAATGAATCTTACTCTGAAGAATTCTTGTCTGAACACGTCTGGTGAGAAGGTAAAAGTTGACAAAGTGCTCGTAAAAATCATTAAACATCTTTTCCTATAAAATAATATTAAATTCAATTTCCACAAATTATTTTGTCATGTTATAAACAGATATATTTTACTTTTTTACAACAATATTTAGAAAGTTTTTGTCCTTTTACCATTTTGCATGGTTCGCATTTTTTGCATTTGCCTAAAACGTCTCCTGCACATCTTTTTTCTCTTTAGTACAAAATTGTGCCTATACATTGGATATAAGGCACTTGTCATAGGCACGGCTGAAAATGATGCCATGGTACGTCCCGCTCAGGCCAGAAGCTCACAAAGCACCGGAGTCATTGCACAGAACGTGTATCACAGATATGACGCAGCGCAGAGATCACGTTTCAACATGCTCTCGGGAAATGATTCAGCGAAAGGATAAAAATAAAAGGCCAGGCGATCTCAGAAAAGTACAGCGAATGTATACGTGAAATATCAGACGCGGCTAATGCATTGCAATAATTCAGGAACATAGAATTTCCGTGGCTTGGACCTCACACATTGATTGCGATCACTCCTGGGTTAATAAACGAATACCGTACGTGCTATGCTCACTTACAACATGACTGCGCTCGGCGCGGTCTTTTGGCAGGTACCTTCTTGTAATTCGAACATCGTCCTTTACGTTCTGGCATGTTCACCCTGAACATGAGTCTTCGCACGGCGCTGTGGTTGGGACGGCGATACATGCGGTACCGTATTAGAGGTAGAGAATACTGTACGCGTTACGATCATCTTAAA